GGAACACATCTGGTGAAGGCTTTCTTTGGTGGTGACCTCAGTGAAGGCAGGGTATCAAATCAAGAAAATGGTGGATCAGAGAGAGCAGAGAGAGCCTGACCTTCTCATGAACTCTCAAAGTCCTCCAAACCATGTCCCTACACCATGATTAATCCATTCACTGCTGCACGGTCCTACAATCCAATCACTTCTTCAAGGCCCCACCTTTCAATTACCATAATAGGATTTCCCACCCTCTTAACAGTCACAGTGGGGGCTAAGTTTCTAATACATAAAACTCGGGGGACACACTTCAAGTTTCAGGGACTTTTCGGGGGACATAATTTAATCCACTACAACTTGCAAAAGCCAGAAGAGGTGGACATCTCCTCAAATGCACAGGCATCAACATAAAGACACAAGAATTGTGAAATAACAGAAAAATATAACATCACAAAAAGAAACCAACAAAGCTATAGCAGCAGACCAGAAGAACTGCAGATATATGAAATGTCTGACGGATAATTTAGAATAATTCTCTTTTAAAAAGTTCAGAAAATCATAACAAAATAAAAATTGAAAACTAAATGATATCTGGAAAACAAGCCAAGAGCAGAAAGAAAAACCAAAGTACTAGAATCAATTGAAAAAATGAAAAAAACAATTCTAGAAATAAAGAATACATTATCTGAACTGAAAAACTCAATAGAAAGCTTCACCAGCAGACTAGATCAAACAGAGGAAAGAATCAGTGAGCTCGAAAGCAGAACATACAAAATTACCCAATCAGAGGAACAAAAAAAAAGAAAAGAAAAGAAAATGAAGTAGGCCCACAAGAATTATGGGGCACTGATATAGTTTAACCCCCAAAGCTCATGTTTAAATGTGATCCTCAAGATGACAGTGTTGGGAGGTAAAGCCTAGGGGGTGAATCCCTCGTGAATAGATTAATGCCTTCCCTTGGTGGGGAGGGGGTAGGTGAGATCTCACTCTCTTAATTCCCATTCCAGCTGGTTGTTAAAAGGAGCTTGGCACCTCCCTCCCTCTCTCTCTTGCTTCCTCTCTCACCATGTGATCTCTTTACACATACCAGCTGACCTGTCACTTACTGCCATGAACAGAAGCAGCCAGAGGCCCATATCAGATGCATCTGTCCAAGAACAGTAAGCCAAATAAACCTCCTTTTGTAAATGAAATACTCAGTGTCAGTTATTCTATTACAGCAACACAAAAACAGACTAAGACAGAAAACAGCAAGAGAAATAACCTATACCACAGAATAGGAGTTCCTGAAGGTGATAAGAGAAAAAGGCCTAGAAAACATATTTAAGGAAATAATAGCTAAAAATTTCCCAAGTAGGGAGAAAGATGACAGCATCCAGGCACAGGAAGCTCAGAGGTCAACAATCAAGTTCAACCCAAAAAGGAATTCCCAAAGCACATCATAAACAAATTACCAAAAACCAAAGACAAAGAAAGAATTCTGAAAGCAGCAAGAGAAAAGAAGCACATGACATTCAATGGAGCTCCCATATGGCTTTCAGTGGATTTCTTGGCAGAAACCCTAAAGGCCAGGAGAGAATGGGAAGATATATTCAAAGCACTGAAGAAAAATGACTGTCAAGCAAGAATACTGTAACCAGCAAAACTAACCTTCAAATATGAAGGAGAAATAAAGATTTCCCAGTCAAACAAAAGCTGAGGGATTTCATCAACACCAGACCTGTC